CACTAGAGTTCAAATCTCAGCTCTGAAAACTACCAGATGTGTGACCCTGTCTGGACAAGCCTCAGGGATCCCTACCTTGTTGCATTACTGTGACAAACAGAAATAGTCCCTAAAACGTAACTTGCACAGTGCCTGGTACATAACAGATATTTGATAAATGTATGAAATAATCCAGTTAGTAATGATGGATGGCAAAGTATCTTCCCAATTATCCATGATTAAAGTGCCAACTGGAAATTGTTCATCTCAATTAAATATTTCTTTAATTAACCTCAGATAAATAGAAAGGGTGAAACATTGCTCAAGTTTGTAGCTTACAAAAAAGTTTATAGAAAATTACATTTTTCAGTATATACTGTGCTCTTTCCAAAATGGTGTAAAACCTCTGAGTAGTCAAGAATATGAATCCCTGTTGTATCAAAGAATAAGAATGCATTCTTTGTGAAGAAAGAAACCATTAAATTGCATCTTCCAGACTAGTGATTTTAATTGTGATCAAATCCACTATAGCTGGGGAGGCCTCCAGTTAATCCATTTACTGTGAACATTATTAAACATATATTAAATGCCGGTGCATAGCAAAGACTTTCAAAGGTATGGTTTGGTTCGCAGGTCTCTAAGAAAGTCAAGAACGTAAAACTACTAAATGTATCAACTAATTCCAGCACACATAGTTTCACAAAATGTTAAGCACTACAATGACTGAAGCACAGAAATAGATTTTTGATCCATTGGGAAGGCATTCAAAAAAATATCACCATGAATGAATAAAAAAAGATTTATTTGGATTGCAAAATTCAACTAGTAAAGAAATTTATCTAAGACATGAGCTCAAGTCTCTGCCTCTCAAAAAACTAAGAAAAAATATTTTACATAAAAGATATAATCTGGTAGCCACTGTCTGAGAAGCTAAAGTAAATTTAGGGTAGTGTTTGCCAACCACATGAGGAAGAAATGCTTGAAATGCTTAAATGAAGATTCCTGGGCTCCCACCCCGGAACAAATAGCATGAAGGTGATGACTTCTCTTATTGGACACAGAATTGCTAAACTTCTCTTTAGCCCTCGCATCCCCTGGAAACAAGTCTAGGCAGTCATTTCTCATCAGCTCTGTGGGCTTAGATTCTAAAATCTACAACTGGTAAGAGGAGAGGAAGGAAGATGATTAAGATTATATACACGGCCAGGCGCGGTGGCTCACGCCTGCAATCCCAGCACTTTGGCAGGCTGAGGTGGGCGGATCACGAGGTCAAGAGATCAAGACCATCCTGACCAACATGGTGAAACCCCGTCTCTACTAAAAATAACAAAAATTAGCTGAGCGTGGTGGTGCATGCCTGTAGCCCCAGCTACTCGGGAGGCTGAGGCAGGAGAATTGCTTGAACCCAGCAGGCAGAGGTTGCAGTGGGCTGAGATCGTGCTACTGCACTCCAGCCTGGTGCCTAGTGACAGAACGAGACTCTGTCAAAAAAAAAAAAAAAAAAAGAAGATTATACAGACACTCTCATCTTCATAAAAAATCTCAACAAGCCCAAACCCTTTTTCCGATAATGTAGAAAAAAACCCTGTTGTGTTTTCTAAGGGATGGAAAGAGAACAAAATAATAAAAGAGGAAAGATATTGCTACTATAATTTTAAAACTATGAAAAAATAATGAGAAATATGTAATGAAAGAAAAGGGCACTGGATTAGGATGAGGAGATGTGGGTTCAAGATGCAGCTTATACCCTCCAAAGGGTATGTGACCTTATAAGCTCACTTAGCTGCTCTTTAACTGAAAGGAATTAATGTTTATAGGAAAGAGATTTTTAAGTCACAAAGAAATATCAAAATGTAAGTATCACTGATGACAAAAGTTTTATTTTTATTTGTAGTTATTACTTATTTAAGATAAGGTCTTGCCCTGTCACCCAGGCTGGAGTACAGTGGTGTGATCCCTGCTCACTGACATCTCGACCTCCCGGGCTCAAGTGATCCTCCTGCCTCAGCTTCCTGAGTCAATGGGACTACAAGTGTGCGCCACCACACCCAGCTCATTTTTTGTATTTTTTTGTAGAAGTGGAATTCCACCATGTTTCCCAGGCTAGTTTGGGACCCCTGAGCTCAAGAGATCCACGTTCCTTGGCCTCCCAAAGTGCTAGAAATACAGGCATGGGCCACAATGACTGGCCAATAAAAGTTTTGTTTTTTTTTTTTTTTTTTAAATATATAATCCAGAATACGATGAAGCAAATGCAAATACACATATTTTATACATAACACCCAAGTTAGAAGCATTGTAGCAAATTACCTGTGGGAAAATCTAGGCCACTAATACCAAATTGTTCCTGCTTTTCACTATATCAAGTAAACCAAAATGCAAATTCCTGCCCAAAAAAAAGAAACAAAACTCGGAGTGGCTTGATGCAGTCATCTATATAGCCGTGGTGAATGATTCAGCTTGAGCTTTTCCTATGACCTACCTACCCACATTTACCTGAGTCTCAAAGCTAAGTTCGTCACTGGAGAGCCATGCAAACAATGGGACTATAAAGAAAACAGGAAGATTAATCAATGACCAGTACCATTAGTCAATAAACCCAGGTTTGCAAGGATTTTGAAATCTGTTTAATACTTTATTGCCTTACAGATTTTAGCTCAACACCAAAATCAAGTGTAGTTGGAAACATGCAAGGAAACCCCTTTCACTTGAGATGGGTGAAAGCGAGGTATACTGCAGTTGCACAAAGCTAGGTTTGAAAGTAGGCTCCACGTGGCCAGGTGCGGTGGCTCACGCTGGTAATCCTAGCACTTTGGGAGGCTGAGGCGGGCAGATCACGAGGTCAGGAGCTTGAGACCAGCATGACCAACATGGTGAAATCCTGTCTCTACTAAAAATATAAAAACTAGCCAGGCATGGTGGTGGGCTCCTATAATCCAAGCTACTCAGGAAGCTGAGGCAGGAGAATCACTTGAATCTGGGAGGCAGAGGTTGCAGTGAGCCGACATCGCACCACTGCATCCCAGCCTGATAACAGAGCAAGACTCTGTCTCAAAAAAAAGAAAGAAAGAAAGAAAGTAGGCTCCACGTTCTATGTCTTCTGTGAACTTTTCAATTCATGAGTTGGTAATTATCAATCCAACCTCGTGGTACTGTTGGAAGAGTTAAATAAGGCCTACCTATAAAACCCTCTGTACAGTGTCTGGCACGCTGTAAGTACCCCATGAACTCATTATTATGAGTAGTAAAGTATTAGTACAGAATAGGCACTCAGTAAAGGCTAGTTCCCCTCCTTTATCATTTTGTACTTAAAAGGCAGAAATATATTCCAACCAAATTACAAGGGATACATAATAACAGACAGCATGTGGCAAAGTCAGGGGTGAAATTTCCTAACATTGAATTTTTCCATCTACTATAGCTATGGAGATCAATTTTACAATTTTCACTGACCATAATTAGAGCCTACATATACAAAGTTATCATTTAAACTTGGGATGGTATATATAGATTTCTTGCTACCTAATATTTAACATAGTTTCTTAAATCATTTTTTCTGGTATTATGGATATACAGTTAGTATGTCTCTAGTGACATCTTCCTACCACCTGCTCTAATCATCATCATCATCATCATCATCAATGGGATGTTATGAACTGAATACATGTGTCCCCTACAAATGCAAACTCTGAAGCTGTAACCCTCTATGGGATGTTATATAGAGGTGGGCCTTTGGGAGGAAATTAGGTTTAGATGAACTCATAAGGGTACAGCTTTAATGATGTCATTAGTGCCCTTATGAGAAGAAAAAGAGCAGAGCCTGATCTCTCTGCCTTGTGGGGACACAGCAAGAAATTGGTAGTCGGCAAGCCCAGTCATCTTGACTGTGCTGGTGCCCTGATCTTGGACTTCCAGTCGCCCAAACTATAAGAGGTAGCTGTCTGTTGTTTAAACCACCCAGTCTGTGACATTTTGCTCTGACAGCTTAAGCAGACTAAAGGAGCAAAAGCACTCTACCAGTATTGTTTGAAAGTATCTAATGTATATAAATGCGCTCTGAAAATGGTAAGATGATAATATTACCATTTAAACAAGACTAGAGAAGACATAGCCCCTCACTTGAGATGTCTACAATCTAAAATCTAGGAAAATGCACAGTGCTAATAAAGGAACAGAAACACACACATACACAGACATACACATGTGTCCAGGCACATGAACATTTTGAAGACAAATAGCAACAATAACAAGTATTTTTTTAAAAACCCCAATCTTTATCTATGAATAATAACAAAGTAGGTCAGAAGCAATGAAAATATCGAAACAATTTTGCCCCATATTTTAAAATGTTTTGTAAAAAAAAAAATCTCGTCTTACAAATAACATCTTGAAATCAATTTTTTATAAACAAAATTAATAGCAAGACTCATTTATTCCATTAGGAAAACATTTGTAGAAGCACACCTCGTTATATCAATAGAGCATACAGAGTGCAAATGCCCATCGTTCAAGGACCAGATGAAACCATGAAAGATAAAAGACCAAGCAACTCATACAATATCACTTCTGCAAAGCCTTACTGTAAAGGGAAAGATTCCTATATAAGATCCATTTGAAAATCCATTTCACACTTCTAACTTAAAGCCAATTCAAATGTAATTTACTTTATCAGACTCCTTCATTTAGAGAGAGTCAGGAGTACAATCAACAGAAGTGACAATTACTTAGGCTTATCAAAAGGTGACCTGGTAGCAGTAGTGCTGAGCAAGAAAAAAAAAAAAAAAAACAACAACAAACAAACAAACTGGAACTCCCACTGGAAACCACGGCTGTTAGTGTATAAACAGATCTTCTAACAAACCAGAACATTCTAAGGAAAAGCATCTACGTGCGTCATCTCTGCACCAAATGCAACCTCATTTGTCATTCTATTTTACTGCCCTAAACATCCCTTTACTTTTCCAATGTTGGCCATTTAAAAGAGATGAAACAGCACTCTTGGCATAAAATACTACACTTACCATTCTCGTCGTCTATACTGAATCTTCCGAGACCACTGCCATCCCTGATGGAGTACTGGATCTCTCCATCCCTTCCGGAATCTTCATCTAGAGCAGTCACCTGCAGGACACTTGTCCCAATGCGTGAGTTTTCTTTTACAGATCCAACGACAGCAAAGTCTGGGAAATAGGGAGTGTGGAGGTTTTCATTGACATCCACCACCTCCACCTCAACAAAGGAAACAGACGACAGAGAGACAGGCCGCCCTTTGTCTTTGGCCCGCACGGTAAGGTTATAGAACTGCTGCTTCTCATAATCCAGCTCTTTGCTCAAGCGGATGGCGCCACTTGCTTTATCTATTTCAAATCTCCCATTGTAGTCATTGACCAAAGAATAGCGCACTTGGCCCCCCAATCCAAGATCTGGATCGTGGGTCTCAAGCCAAGCAATGACTGTGCCAACAGGGAGATCTTCAAGAACCTTCACACTATAGCTACTGGGAATGAAAGCTGGGGAGCAGTCATTGACGTCATCTAAAAAAACCTTAAGAGTGACAACTGAAAACAGCTGCTGACCACTTTCCGCCTTGTCCCTGGCTTCTATTTTCAAAGAATAATTGGCTTTGGATTCCCGGTCCAACTGATCAGCTACATAAACGATTCCAGTTGAGCTATTGATGGCAAACTGCTGTGTATCTGTCAAGACTGAGTAAGTCACTTCACCATTAGAACCTAAGTCTTTGTCTCTGGCTTCCACTTGAATGATTTCAGTACCAATGCTTGAACTCTCAAGAATGTTAACTGAGTAACTGTCTTGAATAAAAACTGGGCTATTGTCATTAGCATCCTCCACATTGATGGTCAGCAGTCTCCATGATGATTTCTGTGGATTACCTAAGTCATAGATGGTGATATTAAGGAGATAGAGGTCTGTGTGTTCTCGATCCATAGGCATAAGGACTTTAAGCTGCCCAGTCTCCATATCAATATTAAAGCAACTATCTGTATTTCCATCAGATATTGTAAATAGCACTTTTCCATTGAAGCCAGAGTCAGCATCATAGGCTTTAATCTTCAGAATGTTAGCACCAACTGGCAGATCCTCCTTTACAGCCACATCAGAAGGAAAAGACTTGTCAAAATGTGGTCCTTGCCTATTAATTGAATAAAAGTCAAGAAATCCATCTTCCAGATTCAGTTTTCCATTTGCTTTTGCCTTAATGAGTAGTTTCTCTGCCAGCTTTTGAGCCACACGAGTTTCTCTGCAACTGAAGCTCTTTGAAGACACCTTCCCATGTAGGACTGAAATGTTAATAGACATGGGATCTGCAAGATTCTCTCCATCAGTTGCTGTAATTCTGAGGGCAAAATTGCCATTTTTAATGCCAGAATTCATCAGTGATTTTTTAAGCTGTAAAACACCAGAGTCTGGGTTTAAATAAAAGAAGCCAAGTTCATTTCCAGAAATGATTTTGTACTTCACAAGTTCAAGTTCATCAATATCGATCGCCGAGACTGCTGTGATGTGACCACCGACTGGAAAGTCATATGAAATAACTCCCTGGCAAGCCACTTTTTCAAAGAGAGGGCTGTTGTCATTGACATTTCCTATTCGAATAGTCACATTGACCTCACTTTCATGGCGGTACGGTGAACCCCAGTCAGAGGCTCTAACAATGAATCTGTAAATTTCTGGGGAGGATTCAAAATCCAGTTCTTCAGTTGTGCTAATAACACCTGTAAACTGGTTAATGGCAAATGGTAACAAATTCAGGCTGGCGATACTATAGGTGATGTACCCATTTTCTCCTTTATCCTTATCAGAAGCTGAAACCGTTAGAACGCTGGTTCCCACAGGGACGCTTTCATTCACAAAAGTATCATACAGTGGTTGCTGAAATTCCGGGGTGTGATCATTCGCATCTTCTATGCTGATGGTGACTTGTGCTTTTAAATCTCCTTCTTTATTTGTCACCTCCAGTTTATAAACCTCCTTCTTAACAGTATTCAGTGGCTGTGCTGTAACAATCAAACCTGAACGAGGATTAATTTTAAAGTACACTGCATCCTCACCAGGAGATAATTTGTATTCCACATCTATCGGTTCAGGACTTAATTTTACTACAGCAACCACGACACCAGGAGGGGAAAATTCACTTATGCTCACATCGTACACTTCTTTTTCAAATCTAACTGGGACAGTGTCTCTTCTGGGGTTTCCTATGTGGACTGTCTTTAATGCTGAAAATTTCTGAGGCGATCCTTTGTCTTTTGCCTGAAGAGTGAGGTTGTAGCCATAGGGAAAGCTCTCCCAGTCAATCTGCTTCCTCTCCTTAATCTTGTACTCATTCAACCACTTTCCTTCCTTAGCCAGAAAGAACTGATCTAAAGGATCCCCAGCCACGATGGAAACAGATTCGATCTCTCCATTGGCCCCATCATCTAGGTCATCAACTGTCACCACGGCATATGTCGGCTCTCTGTCCAATGAGAAAGGAATGTGAGTGACTACATGGATTGTTGGCACATGTTCATTTACACGTTCAATGTGAACATAAAGCTTTGCAGTACTGCTGACTCCATTGTTTCCATACAGTTTCATTCCCCGGTCCACAGCCAAAATTTCCAGATCATACCTATTCTTTTCATCATAATTTAATCGGCCACTTAAGGAGATGACACCACTCGTGGGGTGAACTGAAAAGAGATCAACTTTATTTTTAAAGTAGTAGTAGAATTCTCCATTGGAACCAATATCTGCATCTGTTGCGGTCACTTGGGCGACACTAGTCCTTAGAGGTGTGCTTTCTGCTATGGTAACGGAGTATGTTGTGGGTGAAAACAGAGGTCTCAGATCATTCATATCTAAAACTTGTATGTTCACTTTGGCCCATGCTTCCAAATCCTCTCCTCTGACCGAACCTTTTACTATCAATAAATAATTATCCTGGATTTCCCTATTCAATATGGCAGAATTGCCACCTTTAGTTCTTATTCTGAGAAAACAGAAATCTGCAATGATGACTTCCTCTGCTTTGAAAAAGCCTTCCTCGTCTCCGGACACTATTCTGTACTTGATATCCCAGGACAGATCTATTAAGGTGATGCCCATTCTACTCTGGCTGTTGACATAGGTCCTTGCTGCTGAGTTCTCATACACGGTAGCATTATAAATGGAATGTGTGAAGTGGAAGCCCAGGGGTCCAGTCCCTGGTAGCCCCTGGGAGACAGTGGCCAACAGCTTGAAAAGCAGGAGGATGAGGCAAGAAGGAGGAGGCCGTGTGCCCACACAGTGTCCCATAATTATATCCATCACATCATACTTCCATCCTGGAGGGGAAGAGAAAGAGAAAAGATAAATTATCCTAGAAGAAGTGGGAGGAATGGAAAATAACTATTAGGAAACCGTGCTTTAAAAAAGCGTTATCATAAAATCTTTTTACTAAAATAGCAATATAAGAAAAAATTAGAAACCTCGCCACTACTAGGTAATAAGGAACCCAAGATTACTAGAATTTAGCCCTATCTCGGACGAGTATTTCCAAGCGACACTTCATTTTAAATAACACTTTTATACTGCTGACAGGTTGTTCACTGGCACAAGATTTCTTACATTCTGAAGGTCAGTGTGGAAGTATGTATTGGAGGCCTTAAGCGCATTTACCTTTGACTTATAACTGCCCTTGCAGTAATTATCCTATACAAATATTTAGACAAATATCTGTTATAGCACAGTTTAAAGTAAAAAAAAAAAAAAAGAGATGCTAAATGCCTCTCAATAGAGGACTGAATAATTCATGGTGTATTCATAAAACATTGTGCAGTCACTAAAAATAGAGATAGAAAAGATGTACATTTTCAGATGTAGTAAGATGTAATCCTAAGAAAAAATGGTCATCAAACAGTGTAAGCATGAGTTACATAAACATCTCTATGTGCAACTGAATCGTTTTATTTAAAAAGGATTAACTGTGTTGTGGGACTTGGTAGCATATTTGCATTTTCTAATTTTTCTTCAATGAACATTGTTCATCAAGAGTTATATAATTACTTTTATAATTATGATCTTTTAAAAAATGCTTTAAGGTATTACCATCTTTTATTGTGCTTACTTTAAAACTGATTAAGGTTTATGCACAATGCCATGCCATAAAATGAACAAAGTGTCAAGTAACAAAGCAGGGACAATAATCCCTGAGAGGTTACACGACCGCAGTGATATCCAGAACTATTCACAACAAGGGAGGTCAGAGCGATTTCTTACCAGAAAAACTTCAGAAATTACAAGAGATACTTCCAATTATTTTCCTTAATGACTATTAAATTTAGACAGTTTCCACAGTTTCATGGCTATGTGGGTTAAAAGATAAAAACCTTTTCCTACTTCAGCCAGTAAAATCAACCAAGGAGAAGGGAGAAAGGAGGTATTCAACAAGAAAAAGTGAAGTCTATTTAAACCCAAAGGATCAGATTTTTAGAACCGCCAAATATGAGTTCTTCCATCAAGTCTTATGCTCTGCAAGCCCTTGACATTCTCCTTTTCTTCCTCTACAGGGAACGTGAAGATGAGAGGAGATAGGAAATGAATTTCTTTGCAGGCATGCAATGACGTACACACTGTATCAGTCATTTTTCCACTTTGTTATATTTAATCTTCGTGACAATCCTAAGTAACAGGTACTATTTTACCCGAAGACATACTAGAAAACTGTGGGTCAGAGAAGTTATTCTACTTAGTTGAGAGGATGGCCCAAGCAACGTCCCCCAGCCGGCAAGTAGCAAAGCGGGATCTCAGACCTTAATCTTTCTCTAAAATCTACGTGTTTCCCCATCACACTCTCACTCTCTCAAAATTACCTGCAAGCAAGAATGAAATGATCAAGGCTCCTAGAAGTACATATTACCAAATTTAATTCTAATGAAGTAGTCAACATATATAATTGATTTTAATAAGCACAACCCATCCCCACCCCCAGCATATCATTTTGGCTACTTCCTCTCGGTTTTAAAGTAGTTCTGATTATTGGCTGCAAGCTAAAGAAAAAAAAATCCCCTACAGGAGTTTAACATCTTAAAATATTATAAAATTATATTTATGGTTTATAAAACCCTTTCATATCCAAGGTTATCAAGGCATATATTATAACCTTTTTGTAAATAAGAATTTAAAACCTCATTTTCCTAGTAGCAGATTCTAGATTAGACCTGAGGCTCTCTCCACACTCCACAAAGTTTTCCTATTTGTTTTTCCAGCTTCATCTTACAAGAGACTCTCCTAAAGTGAAACCTTGAGCATGCGAATGGTGGTTCTGCCTGGGGATGAAAGATACCTTGCTGCTATCATCTGCTGAAGTATCCAGTAGAAAACAAGGAGTTGCAGATAGAAAAACTCAAGCTTAATATGGGGACTTTATAGGTATTAACAGACAGCAAAAATAAAAAGCAGAAAAACGGAGTATATTTCTATAAAGGATGCTAATTTCACATGCAGTTCCTCTGACTATCTGTTCTTTGCAGACATTGCATGTGCTAAGTAAATGGTGCAGGCAGCATGTGGACAAGACCTCAGGTAACTAGGGCAGGGACCAAGTCAGATGGCTGCTGGTGACCCTGTTCAGTAAGTTCCTAGAAAGACACCATTGGACTGCTGGTCATTTCAAAGGAAAGTTTATTAGGAAAATGATACATTTTAGGTTTTCTGGATGCAGTAGGTTCAAATTCGCCACTTCACAGAGTGGCGAATCCCACAATATGATTGGGGTGTCTACTTTGTGGAGCACAGTCAGCTGAAATATGGGAGCAACAGAAACTCTTTTTAGTGATCACAAAAGTACACTAGAAGATGCTTTAATAGTAATTTGTATGCCTCAGGAGTCTCTTCTATTTCATCATCTTAAAAGGCTCCAAAGCAGTGGAGAAATTTTTAGGCTCACTGTGGAAATGTGAACATGGTAAAGTAAGCAAGTCTCTTGTAAGGGGATGCAAAGGCAAGGTTACAGTCCCTCAAGGTGAAACGCTGGGATCACTCCCAGAATGCTCCGGGGAGATACAAATAGAGCTTTTGCCTCATTTCCCACTCACTATTATGGGCTAAGAAGGCTCTCTGTAACAGTAATTTTGCTGATCCTTTGCCCAAGGAGTCTGGACTCCATGGTGATCAGAGAGGAAAACTTGCCCCATGAAACATTCAGTGCAACTGAACTTTTCTGAGTCTATCCCCCATTCACACTCTGAACTCCATTTAAGGAAACCTAATGAGAAGTATATCACACTATTCCCAGCATCCAGTACAGCACCCATCACACAGGAAACCAATAACGCTGGTTTGTTGAACAGAACACTAAGTACAGATGTAACCAGAGGCCCAGATGCTTTTAATATGCTCAGTTTCCTATTCCCCAACAAAAAGCACATCTTACTTCAGGAAACCAAATCAAGAAATTATACAGGTTCAACGGAGCCTTAAATATCATCTGTTCCAATCTCCTGAGTTTACAGCTGAAGAAACTGAGGTCCATAAAATGAAGAGATCCCCCTAATACCAGGTCTCAAGTTCCCCAGGTTCAGAGCTAATACCAAACTGAAACACGCTTCAATTGAATTAGTTTTCATTGAGTTACATTACAATTTTAGAGCTGTGGTTTATCATTATTTTGGAGGCATCTTCCTTTTCTGACACCTTATGACTCTCTCTGGTGTTATTTTCTCCTCTAAGTAGTTAACTGTTTATAAGGAAATATCTAAGAGCCCTAAGGGGATAGTTACTTTTACAAATCTTGCTGTGAATCTTTCAAGGCAGAACGCTGTCATAATATGAAAAAACATCATTCAATTTAAGTATTCAAAAATTAGTGATTTTGCACAGCGAGTTTTTCTTTCAGCAAGATGCACTGCTGGAATTGTTTTCTTATAAACCAGAATCAGTGGTCTTAAATGCAAATAGAAAATACTTCAAAACAAGCATAAATGGAGTGGTATTATCATGTACTGAAATTTAGACCTAATACCAAAAAATTGTGCAGGAGTAAGTTTGTCAAATTCAGTTGTTGAAAAAATATCTTTTAAAGCTTTTGTATCTTTGTTGTGGCAAAGGAGAAAAAAAGGTCCTATCTGGCACAAATTATTTTAAAAGCCTTACAGTATTCCCACTGATTAGGAAATAAATGAGTGCTACAAGCTAGGAATGTTGTAGAATTTTGCAAAGCAAATACTAGAATTGAATTTTGTCTTCTTTTCTTTTTAGCATGCCAAGACAACTGTTCAGATTTTTAAAAAAATAACATTGCTTTTTCCACACTGAAGCCAAGCTATTTGTGAAGCCAATATGATAGTTGCAGTGTTTTAGATGCTCTGCACATCGATTTATTCTACAGCTTCCAGATTATTTTAAAGAAAGCACTTAGTTCCCAACCTCGGAGGCTATTTTCTATGACTTACTAAAATAATCAATAATTTTTGATAAAAATCTCCAAAGAGATCATCAAGCCATCAATCTTTGAGACATTTATTTTTCAGAGGCATTCCTGGTGTGCCTCCCGGTCCTGCCCTTCTGCTCTGTTAGGATGGATCTTGCTGTGGGACTCAGAAGGGCACACAGATTTTTCCTTCCACGGATGAATAAATGCCAGAGACCTTGAGGGCAGGGAACAGCAATCACGGAGACTACCCCTCTGGGGCAGCCTTGACTCTGCTGGGTACCTATGCTTGCTTTGGTAACCTGATAAAGCTGTTTTCTGCCATCATTAATCTGGTCTGCTTAAATTGCTCAGACTTCTGAACACTAAAAAAGACATTTTAATAATATATTTCATTTTCACTCTCCCTCTTCCTATCTTTTCTATTTTGAGAGGATTCTGTTAGTCAAATCAAGAGGATATTCAAGAAATTTGCTACGTTCAGCTGTAATGCAAAGAACAAAGTCAATATAGAGTCCCCTTGACAGGAGTCCTTATGGAAGGTGACCCGTGTTCAAACTGCAAATGGAGGATCAGTCTATGCTCAGGTGCATGCTGTGCCAGAGCCCATGCCAACACAAAGGCAGAGCGTGCAATGGTTACGGAATGTGCACTTTGGCACCTGATCACCTACATTTGAATCCCATCTATGCCATTTACAGGCTTTACAACCCCAGGCAAGCTATTTACTCTCTCTGTGCCTCAGTTTATTCTTCTATAAAAGAGGAACAATAATGCCTACCAAATAGGATTTGAGTTAATAAATGGAAAATATTTATAACAGTTCATGGCACATAGTATAAAATTTTCATCTATTATTAGCATTAAATAAGGCAGATTTTAGAGAAGACAAAATCTCAGAGTCACAAGACGGAA